GACCCTTTCACAGGGGTCGCCTAAGACCATCGGAAAACACATATATAATTACATATTGTTTTTGTGATTAATCACTATGCTTTAATTATGTTCAATTTGTAACAATGAAAATACATCCTGCATATCAGATATTTACATTATGATTCATAACAGTAGCAAAATTACAGTTATGAAGTAGCAACGAAAATAATTTTATGGTTGGGGGTCACCACAACATGAGGAACTGTATTAAAGGGTCACGGCATTAGGAAGCTTGAGAACCACTGAAATAGACTTACAAGTCCAGGAAACACAAAGAATCCCAAACAAAAGAAATCCAAAGAGGACCACACCAAGACACATCATAATTACAATGCCAAGGGCAAAAGACAAAGAGAGAATCTTAAAAGCAGCAAGAGAAAAACAGTTAGTTACCTACAAGGGAGTACCCATATGACTGTTAGCTGATTTCTCAACAGACACTATGCAGGCCAGAAGGGAGTGGCAAAAAATATTCAAAGTGATGAATAGCAAGGACCTAAAGCAAGGTTACTCTACCCAGCAAAGCTATCATTTAGAATTGAAGGTCAGATAAAGAGCTTCACAGACAAGAAAAAGCTAAAGGAGTTATCACCACCAAACCAGTATTATATGAAATGTTGAAGGTTATTCCTTAAGAAGAGGAAGAAGAGGAAAAAGAAAAAGGTAAAGAATATGAACAACTAGATGCCAACAAATACATACCTATCAATAACTGAATCTAAAAATAAACGAATATGGAATAAACAAACAACATAAAGTGATGTACAAAAATAGATTCAGAGACACAGAAGTATCGAACAGATGTCAAACCTCAGAGGGGAGGCAGGGAAAGGGAGGGGGAGAAGAGATCAACCAAAGGACTTATATGCATGCATATAAGCATAACCAATGGATAGAGACAGTAGGGGGGTAAGGGCATGTGCTGGGGAGTGGAGTGGACGGGGAGAGACCAATGGGTGGAAAAGGAGACATATGTAATACTTTAAAACAATAAAGAATTTAAATTTTTAAAAAAAGAAGAAGATTGCAATCATATCAAGCATCTTCTTAGATCACAATGGAATGAAATTAAAATCAACTACAGTAAAAACATCCCAAAACATTCTAACCCAAGGAGGCTAAATAGCATATTATTAAACAATGAATGGGTTACCAATGAGATCAAGAAAGAAATAAAAAACTTTCTGGAAACAAATGAAAATGAAGATATAACAACCCAAATTTATGGGACACAGTTATAGCACTTCTGCGAGGAAGTTCATAGGCCTGGCATTGGCACAAAAACAGGCATATCGATAAATGGAACAGAACAGAGACCCTAGAAATTGAACCAAGCAATTACGCTCTATTAAAATTTGACAAAGTAGGCAAGAAAATACAATGGAGTCAAGACAGTCTCTTCAATAAATGGCATTTGGAAAATTGAACAGATACAAGTGGAAAACTAAAACAAGACCACCAACTTACAGCATACACAAGAATAAATTCAAAATGGATAAAAGATTTACATGTAAGTCGTGAAACCATAAATATCCTAGAAGAAACCACAGGCAGCAAAATCTCAGACATCTCTTGTAGCAATATGTTTACAGATACATCTCCTAGGGAAAGGGAAACTAAGGAGAAAATAAACAAATGAGACTACATCAAAATAAAAAGCTTCTGCACAGCAAAAGAAACCATCAACAAAATGAAAAGGGAGCCCACTGTATGGGAGAACATATTTGGCAATGTCACAACTGATAAAGGGTTAATATCCAAAATATATAAGGAACTCATACAATTTAACAAAAGAAAGATAATCCAATTAAAAAATGGGCAAAGGACCTAAATAGACACTTCTCCAAAGTGGACACACAGAAGGCCAAGAAACATATGACAAAATGCTCAAAGTCACTGATCATCAGAGAGATGCAAATTAAAATGACAACAAGGTATCTCCTCACAACTGTCAGAAAGGCTATCATCAACAAATCAACAAATGACAAGTGCTGGCAACAAAGTGGAGAAAAGGGAACCCTAGTACACTGCTGGTGGGAATGCAGAATTGTGCAGCCATTATGGAAAACAGTATGGAATTTCCTCAAAAATTAAATATGGAACTACCATTTGACCCAGTGATCCCACTTCTGGAAATATATCCTAAAAAACCTGAAACACCAATCAGAAGGAATATATGTACTCCTCTGTTCATAGCAGCACAATTTACAATAGCTAAGATCTGGAAACAGCCCAAGTGCCCATCAGTAGATGAGTGGATAAAAAAGCTGTGGTACCTTTATACCATGGAATACTATGCATCAGTAAAAAAGAAGGATCTCTTACCCTTTGAGATAGCATGGAGGGACCTGAAGAGTATTGTGCTTAGTGAAATAAGCCAGTCAGAGAAAGGTAAGTATCACATAACTCACTCATATGTGGAGTCTAATCAACAAAATAAACTGATGAACTGAGTGGATCCAGAGACATGGAAGCATGGAACAGATTGTAGAATCTCAGAAGGAAGGTAGGGGAGGGTGGGTAGGTGGGAAGTAATCAACCAAAGAACTTATATGCATATATGCATAACTCATGTACACAGACAATAGGGTGGTGAAGGTCTGGGGTGGGAGGTGGGGGCATGCTAGAAGGGGTGAATGAGGGAAAAACGGGACATATGTAATACTTTCAATAATGATTAAAAAAAAAAAAGTAGAGCTCATACCCAGCCACCTTGCTGGATGATGTACTCTGCTGCATAGTCTTCCAGATATGTCACACCAAACTGCAGCAATGTATTCAAAGGTTCTTGACCACGCCTTGTCAACTCCAAAAGCATTTGTTGTAGCAAAACCAGCGGCACCAAAATCTTCAATGTAAAGATGAGAGAATAAAAACACAAAGTTAAATACTTACAATTTATTTTATTAGTTCAAGTACTAGAAAATCATACTCAGGTGTGTCATTATGAAATTTCATTCTTATTACAATAAGGGAAATAAATCATTGACCCCTACTAGAATTTTTGTGAATAATGCATATAGGTTTTATACCTTATAGCAGGGATTTTTAACAGTGTGCACAGTGGTATAAAGCAGAATTTTTAAAACATGAAATATCTGACTATTTAGTCAGAGGCACTCACCTCTTTTCCCTTAGATTGTCAAATGAAAAAATGACCATAGCCAACACAACAATATTCGTCTGGTATGAATGAATCAAAATTATACCTTTTTTTTTGTCAGATCAGCAAAAAAAATGTATTGTTGGTGTGCCACAGAATTTTAGTAATTAATTTATGTGGGCATGAGATTAAAAAGGTTGAAAATTACGGACTTGGGGTTTTAGAAGTAATTATATGAAAATAAGCGGGCCTGTGGGGGGGGGCAACATATGGACAGAAAAATCATTGAAGCATTATTTATAAATAGCAAAAGCCTTGGGACTGGTTAAATATATTAGATTGTTTACTGTCCAATCACCAAGATTTACTTTCAGAGAAATAAGCAAGATACAGGAGATTGTGTAAAATAATAGTACCTTCATTTCTAAATGAATCAGAGAGCTTGGGAAACAGAGCAGGACAGATGGAAGACAGATTTAGTGATCTTAAAGATAGAAATCTAGAAATTACTCAGGTGAAAGGAGAGAACTGATAGGTTTAAGAAAATGAAATAACTCGCTGAGAACTCCTGACTCCATTAGAGAGAGCAATATAACAATAATGCGTATGAGAAGGAGAATGAAAAAGAGAGCCAAATCAACCAAATAATCGATGAGAACGTCCCAAACTGGAAAAAGCTGGAACCTCAAATCTGAGAAACTAACAGAATACCTAATTATCTCAATCCAAAAAAAGCCTTCTCCAAGGCACAGGATATTAAAGATGTCAAAAATTAATGATAAAGAAAGAATCCTCAAGGCAGCCAGGATAAAGAAGATAGTAACCTATAAAGAAAAACCCATTTGCCCAGCCAGTGTGGCTCAGCGGTTGAGCATCAGTTCAGGAACCAAGAGGTCCCTGGTTCAAATCCTGGTCAGGGCACATGGACAGATTGTGGGCTTGATCCCGGGGGGGGAGGGGGTGCATAAGGTAGCCAATTGATGATGCCCTCGGTCATTTATGTTTCTCTCTCTTTTTCCCTCTCCCTCTCCCTCTCCCTCTCTCTAAAAAACAAAAACATATTTTAAACAAAGAAAACCCCATTAGATTATCATCAGATTTTTCAGCAGAAACCCTACAAGCAATGAGAGAGGGGAATCAAATATTCAAATTACTGAAAGAGATAAATCATCAGCCAAGGATAATATATCCAGAAAATTAAACCTTTAGATGTTAAGGAGAAATAAAGGCTTTTCCAGACATACAGAAGCTGAGGAAATTTATCCACACAAGACCTGCATTACAAGAAATGTTGAAAGGAGCTCTTCTACCTAAAACAAAAAGAAAAAAGAACACAAAACTGTAAGATAAACAAATGGACAGAAGCAGGAATTTGCAACTCTATTTCAGAAGAGGATACAAAATTCTTAATTATAACATACAGGTTAAGGGAGGAAAGTATTTAAAAAGAACTGGTGGGCCTGCTGGTGTGGCTCAATGGTTTGTGGAGGGTCAACCCATTAACAGGAGGTCATGGTTTGATTCCTGGTTACAGCATATGCCCAGGTTGTAGTTTTGATCCCCAGTAGGGGGCGTGCAGGGGTCAGCCAATCAATGATTTTCATCATTGATGTTTCTATCCCCCCCTCCCTTCCTCTCCTGAAATCGATAAAAACATATTTTTTAAAAATGTTTTAATTGGTGGGGTAGGTAAATGTACTTGCCTCCTTCCATGACCACATCAAAAAAAAAAACCAACTAGATTATAATAAACAACCATCCCTGAGAAGCATCTGAAAAATAGATAAAAAGAACTCCTATAACTAAGGATATAAAGAAGAACCCACATCAATACAGGTGGGAGGGGAGAACACACGAAATGGACTGGTTCCATACTCATGTGTGGCAGTCAAGAATTGGGAAGACTGTTCCCCTGGCTGGCAGCACAGAGGCTGCACGATGCCCAGAGTTACTGTAAAAGACGTGAACCAGCAGGAGTTCGTTAAGAGCTCTGGCAGCCTTCCTCAAAAAGTCCGGGAAGCTGAAAGTCCCTGAATGGGTGGACACTGTCAAGCTGGCCAAGCATAACGAGCTTGCTCCCTACAACGACAATTGGTTCTATACACGAGCTGCTTCCATAGCACAGCACCTGTACCTTCGGGAAGGAGCTGGGTTGGCTCCATGACCAAGATCTATGGAGGATGACAGAGAAATGGTGTCATGCCCAGCCACTTTAGCAGAGGCTCTAAGTGTGTGGCCCGCAGGGTCCTCCAAGTCCTGGAGGGGCTGAAAATGATGAAAAGGGATCAGGACGGGGGCCGCAAATTGACACCTCAGAGACAGAGATCTGGACAGAATCGCAGGGCAGGTGGCAGCTGCCAACAAGAAGTATTAGAACAAATGCTGGGTTAATAAATTGCCTCATTCGTAAAAAAAAAAAAAAAAAATTGGGAAGGATATCTTGGCATCCTCGCATATCTGGCTGTAAAAACCAACACAGATTGTGGCCGAAGAAGGAGGACTGCTGGAGATTCAGGCATTACTCTAAAAGATTCTACACACACACTCACTTGTTCACAAATACTTTCACTAAGCTCCAGAGAAAGGACAGGAGCTCAAATCTCCAGGGACATATGGGGATGAACTAAATTGTCTGACTTCTGGGTGAGGCCTGGAAGGAGAGAAGTGCTGGCAAGGGCCATTGTTTCATTGTTGAGCCCTCCTCCCACCCAGAGGGCAGCCAGGCACCATTGTTCCTTTGTTGAACCTTCTTCCCCCTATACAGCCGGTGCAATCCAGTGCCAAATCTGACACTCCATGAAACTGTCTAACACCACTCCTCCATCCTGCTGACTCCTTGAGACCCCCACTCCACCCAACTCACACACAGGCCTGAATCTCTTTCAATAGCTGTTCTCACAAAGAGCCAGCTTCAACCCATACTACATGTGGACTTTCCAAAAATCTCTCAAAAGTCCACAATCCTCAAAAAAATAGAGGATGGCCTCAGCACGCCCTGTACCTCTTGCTAAGTAGTCCCAAGCCCAACACTAGTGGCAGCTGGCCTAGGTTTTCAGTATAGCCTCTCCCAGGTGCCTCCAAGGCCAGCACAGGCAGCTATCAACTGCAGCTCACTTTGTAGCTCCTATCAGGTGGCCCGGAGCTAGGCACAGGCAGTAGCTCAGATGGTCCTCCACCAGAGCCCCACCCAGGAGGCCCCAGAGCCAATACACCCACTGGCTGGATTCAGACCACACCAGAGCACCACCCAATTAGCTCCACAAATGGCACACCCAAAGGGTGGAATCAACAGGCATCAGAGCCCTGCTAAAGCTAATCTCCCTCTGTAAGGTCAGCACCTGGATAAGAGCCCATCCTCTGTAGTCATGGACAGTCCTCAAAGGAGTCTCTAATACTGGGCCCCACAGGATACCTACTATGTAATAATAAGACTGAAAGATGTAGCAGATCTACCTTATATAAAGAAACAAACACAAGAAGGCAAGTAAAAAGAGGAAACAAAGAAACATGGTTCTCTCTCTCTGCCTCTCCCCCTCCCTTCCACTCTCTCTAAAAATGAATGGGAAAATATCCTTGGGTGAAGATTAACAACAACAACAAAAACAAAAACAATCTTATAGACATAGAGAACAAACTAAGGTTGCCAGATAGGAGTGGGGTTAGGAAGCTGGGTAAAAAGGGGGAAGGGATTAAGTACAAACTGACAGTTACAAATTTTCATAAAGATGGAAAGTACAGAATAGAGAATATAGTCAATAGTATTATAATACCTATGTATGATTCAGGTAGCTACTACTAGAGTTATCAGGGGGATCACTTCATAAGTTACATAAATGTCTAACCCTCTGTGCTCTCCACCTGTAACGATAAAATATTAAATGTCAACTGCAATTGAAAAATTTTAAAAATATATTTCAAAAGACAGTAACTTCTGAAATTTGGAAATGAACATAAAAAAGGTATAATTTGTGACAACAAAAACAAATGGGAGTGAAAAAGGTAATGAACTTACACAGGTGAATAAAGATAAGACACAGTTAGAAGAAACAGGACTATTATATGCATGAATCTCCTTTTACATAAATCTAATGGTCACCACAAAATAAAAATCCAGAATTGAGGCATGTAGCACAAAAAATAAGGAAATGGAGAAAAAATCATAGGAACAACCAAACTAAAATAGCAGGGGGAAAAAGGAAAAATAAACAGTGGAAACACAGAGCAACCTGAAAACTAAAGGTAAAATAGATGTAAATGCTAAATATAAATGGACTGAATTAACCAATCAAAAGGCAAAGATTAGCAGGATGGGTTACAAAATATCACCCAGCTATATGTTGCCTTCAGGAAACTCACCTCAGCTATAAAAACAAACAGACTCAAAGCAAAGGAGTGGAAGACAATACTCTAAACAAATGGAATCCAGAGAAAAGTTGGTATAGCCATACTTATATCAGAAAAAAACAGATTTCAAGAGACAAAAATGTACATAAAGGGGCCAATTCATCAAGAATACATAGCACTTAATAAATGCCCCCAACTTGTGAGCACCAAAATATATAAAGCCATTACTAATAGACCTAAAGGGAGAAACTAAAACAACAACAATTATATTAGGGGACCTGAATACCCCACTGACAGCAATCCTGTATAATAAAGATGTAATATGCAAATGGTCATTATGCCATGAAACATAACAACCGACCGCGTAACGACTGGATCACGGATCAGCAGGAGGGTGGGGC